ACACACACACACACACACACACACACACACACACACACACACAATCAGTTTTATGTCTGTCAGCCTTTCGAGTGTTGTCTGTCCTCCCCCTGATGTTTTCTAAGTATTTTTTTGTGTGCCCAACTGAGCACCCTTTAGTGCCAAACAGTCGGTGGTTCCTCGTTTGGAGTGCCGACTGCACTCTTATGGGGCCGCTCGGTAGGGGGTGTCTGTGTTGCCTGTCGGTGATGACGGATGTTCATCGGAGTGACTCCCTGGCTCAGTGGGTGGTGGGAACCAACAGTCTGCAGGGTTCAATCGTGATGTGAGTAGGTCATGTGCTGCTTTACTCCGTGTTGGACGTGTAGACGTCCTCGTTTGCGCTCCGCCGCTGCCCTGCTGCCTGTCCCGCTTGCTTCGCATGTGGTTCTTTGCAGGTTGATGTGTTCACTGTGCAGTGTGGCCGTGTTGTTGGTGTCGCTTTGCGCTTTGCTGCTTCGCTGCCGTGCTGCTCATCCGCTGGCCGTGCCTTCCGTGTTTGCCGCTTGTGTGCCCTGTAGGTTGGTTGCCTTGTTGCTGGTGCCTTGTGCTCTGCTACACGGTAGCCGAGCTGCTGGTCCACTCGCCCTGTCGTCCCCTGCAGTGCTGTGGCCTTGCTTGTGTTGTCTTGTGCTTCACTACACGGTTGCCACAGTGCATGCCCTGCGTGCCATGCCGTTCCTTGCAGTCGTTTTTGGCGTTGTGCAGCCGTGTTGCCTCTACTGTGTTGCCTGGTGCTCCACAGGGTTGCTGCCCGCTGCTATGTTCCGCTTGGGGACAGTCTGCTTGCCCTGTTGGCCTTCTGCGTCCTTTACTTGTGTGTGTGCCTTGTAGTCTGGTCGCCTTGCTGATGTTGCCTTGCGTTTCACCGCACGGTTGCCGAGCTGCTCGTCCGCTTTCCCTGTCGTTCCTTGCAGTCGTCTTTGGTGATAAGCAGTTGGGCTGCCTCTACTGCGTTGCCTGGTGCTCTGCAGGGTTGTTGCCCGCTGCTATGTCCCGGTTGGGGACAGTCTGCCTTCAACATGGGTCAAAGGGTTCATGACCCAAACCATCCAATGCGGGGATTCTGCAGATTGTCGAGGGTTCAGCCTCCTGATGAGTCGGTGCAACTCCGACGAAACAATCTTGTCATCATCAGTTTATTTTTTTTGGTCCTCCGATTTACTTGGGACTTGTATTTTTTTTGGTTTGCCTGCCTTGGTGTGCTTGTGTGCCTGTTTCGAGTTCTTGCATGTTGCCTGCCCTCCTGCCTCCCGCGTGCCCTCCAGCCTATGCCTTGATGTCCTTTTGCTTGCTTTGCTCTGATGTTTTTCTTGTCTGCCTGGTCTTGGCATTTTTTTGGGACTTCGCCTGCTGGTGTGCTTGCATGTTGTCTGCCCTCCCGCCTCCCCCATGCCTTCTGTTTGGCACTTCGGAAAGCTGATCATGGATAACCACGCATGTACGGGGTAGCTCCAGAGAGTTAGTAGAGTGGCAACATACAGTGTTAGTTTGGTTGTGGCAGGGCGGGGTGTACCATGGGTTCCATGGAGTGCATGGCAAGTACGCCATGGGATATATTGGACACACACACACACACACAGTCACACAGACAAACACATATAGACAAACACAAACACAAACCAAAAAAAACAAAGGATACGAAAAA